CACGCTGTGGAAATTTGACTTTACTGGAACAGTATGTGTCAGCTTCTAACACACTACATGCAGAATATCTTACCTTATATAATGGACTGTGTGTTGCTCGTGAAAATGGTGTTAAAGAAGTCCAATGTTTGTCCTACTCTCAAGAACTAATTGACAACCTTAATAGGAATGATGAACAAAAGTGTGTATTGGGTGATTTGCTTGATTCCTTTACATATGTCGAAGTCTATAAAGTGCTTGTTAGTGTGGATATGTTCACTGATGTTATGCTCGCATGGGCGCCGGGAGATGATTGAGCCTTGTATTCCTTGGTGAGAGTGATTGTTGGGTGTTTCAATTTTTCTCAGTCGGTTGCTAATTTTTATTTGGGTTTTGGCTCAATTTTTGTGACTTTTGCCTATGTTTTGTTTTAGCCTATGCAGCGGGGCCTTTGGTGTTGAGAAGGGCATGTGGGTGACCTAAGTTGCAAGTCATGGATTTGGTTACAAAACCTTCTTTGTTGGAGTTTCCATTCTTGCTAGGAGGTGCTGCTTGTTTTCTCCTATCCTTGGGCGTGTGCTTTGCAGGAGTTTTGATGTGGTGAGTCTTGGTTTTTTGCTAGTTGGGGATTGAAGCTTTTGTTGGATTTCCTTGAGGGTGGCTGGAGTTTTGAGACTTTTTGGCTGCGAACCTTTATGTACAGACTGTGCAGTTTGCTTTGTGCCTAGATGGCTTGCTTTTTTTACTGCTGGCCTTTTTTGTCTAGTATTTCTTAGACTAACTACATGTTTTGTTAGGACTTTAATCCTTTTTTTTTTTTTTTTTGCTGTTGTTCTTGCTTTGGTTTCTTGGGCTTGTCCAAGGACCATGACTTCGTAGGGTCCTTTGGTTGGGACTTATTCTTATATATTATCATAATAAAAGCTTATATTACAAAATAGAACAAGTTCTTTTCTTGTATGTTCGAGTAGAATTTCTTTACAGCAAAGAAATAAAAAAATAAAAAAATAAAAAAATGAAACACAAACTACTCCTAAAAGACGATATCTTATTAGAACCCATATGAACATCATAGGCAAAATAAAAATAGTCTACAATACTAGATAGGTCAATTGTAACACTTATTGACATTGAGCAATTGCTTCTCCAATTAACGCAGGGTCAACATCTTACTGCCTAGGAAGGCAATTTTGTCTCTCCAACCTATGCTTTTTCATGTGCGGAACCTTATATTTGTTCGAACCTCCAGCTTTCAAAATTGAAATCATACATGACTGTAAAGTTAAAAACATATGATTCAATTTTGTTGGCGAGTATTCATCAAATGACTTCTAAACAGCCTCTATGAGCACATCTACAGAGTTGGGCGCCTGTTGGTATTGTAGTCCCTATATCGCTTTAAAAAAACCAAGGTCTAGAACATTCACATCTGGAGAATTCGGAGGTTGACAAATCAAACGTATGTCGAAGCCATCCTTAGTAGCATTACTTTGAAAATACTCACCATCCAGACCAATATGAGGTTTCGCATTGTCTTGTTGGATAGTTATTGGACTTCCTGCATCAATTCTTGGTCACTTATCTCGGATAGCCGGCAAGAGTTTCTCAACTATGTAAGATCGATAAATTTCCTTATTGATAGAATTGATTGTTTTAGTCTCCATGGTTCCGGCAGAACAATTTTTACTACTCCTCATTGCAAGTTCTTTATTTATGAAAGGAAATATCCTGATTTTTCCAGAAAATAATTCATTCCCTGATTCATCAAACCTTGGGCGTGTCACTGTAGCCATAAACATAACTTTAGTAATAAAAGTCTTACTCTTATATGTACGTAAAGGCTCGTCTTCGTCAGGAAGGAGGTAATACTTCTCTGACTGCTTTGTCATGTAGAACCACTTCTCATCAACATGAATAATATTTTCCATGGTCACNTTTATTTATGAAAGGAAATATCCCAATTTTTCCAGAAAATAATTCATTCCCTGATTCATCAAACCTTGGGTGTGTTACTGCAGCCATAAACATGACTTTAGTAATAAAAGTCTTACTCTTACATGTGCGTAAAGGCTTGTCTTTGTCAGGAAGGAGGTAATACTTCTCTGACTGCTTTGTCATGTAGAACCACTTCTCATCAACATGAATAATATTTTCCATGGTTACAAACCTCAAACAACTAGGGTTGTTGCCATGTTCAATCATCGATAAACAAAAGCGTATTCTAGCTTTCATATTTTCCACGTTTAATAAAGGTTTTATAGCATTTGAATGATGATGTATGTAGCCCTCTTTTAACCACCTAAACAATGTTGTCACTGACAAATTTGTGGTAGCAGATAAAGACCTCAGTGTCGTCTTCTTCACAATGGAATATTTCGAAATTGATTGATGTCAATTTGAAGACGCTTGCACCCGCAATTGAGTGCCTTTCTGCTAGACACATTACTGTTAGAATCCAATACTTCGTTTTCTTTTCCTTGTTCCCAAATGCGTTGGACTATACGCATAGTAACTGAAAATAATTGAGCCACCTCAGATGTAGTGTTTTTCTTCAATTGTCCATTAACACTTCGCTTCAATAGAGATTCAAAAATTGCTTACCTTTGTTCATTTGTGAGGTTTTTTCGGCTCACATGTGTATTAACTTTCTCGGTTATGTCATTAACTTCATTCATAGCTTCTAATGTTGGAAGAACATTCAAATCAATTTCCCCAAGCACACCTCTACTATTACATTGTTCGGCCATGGTGAGTGACAAACAGAATCACAGAGATGAAAGTTTGTAAAAAGAGATAGTCATGGTGAGGGACGAACATAATAAAAGAAATGGAAATGAGTGACTAACAGAGTAAAAGAAAAGTAAGTGATGAAGACGAATAGAATAAAAGAAATGGAAGTAAGTCGATAATAGGAGAGAGAAAATGACTATATATATATATATATATATATATATTAAATTATTTAAATAATTCACTTATGTGTGCAACGGGGAAAACAAAGTCTTTCGCACCTACAAAATCAGAGGAAAAAGTCAAATTAGAGAGAGATGAAATTGTTTCATTAAAAGTTGTGTAGAAACTTAAAACGTCATTTATATTGAAACGGAGGGAGTATTTCCTTTTAAAGTGAAAGAAAATATCATAATATTTTATTTATTGAAAGAGTGTTGAAAGAGACATTAAAGTGGGTATCAAAAGGGGTTGACATGACGGTCAAGAATGTTTGCTCATTTCATTGACTTTCTGGATTCAAACCACTTTGGGGCCACCTACTATATTTGTGGCTTATCTTAGAACATTGGACTTGTAGCATGTTCAGTGGACCATAGAGATTAGTTGAGGTATATGTAAACTGACCCGGCTACCCCGGTCATCAAAAAAAAAAAAAAAATTAAGTGGGTGATGGCTACCGTCTAAATACTTTTAAGTGAAAATCGATTGACCCAAAATAGAAGAGAAACATTTGAGAAAATATTAGCATGAAACTTTTTGGGGGAAAATATCTTCCAGTGTAATTTTTTGGAATTTTTAGAATATTATTGTTCTTAAAAAATTAATTAATGGAGTTGAAAAGATATTTGGTGGGAGGCATTTAGCATCAACAAAAAGAAAAACAATTACTTTATGGAATTATTAAATTAATTTTATAATTAGTTAATAAAGAATTATAAATTATAGGTTTATTGTTAGGATATTCTTTTAATTGATCACAAAAAATCTGTCTCTATTTTAAAAGCCACTCTAACTTTTGAAAACCTTTTAAAAAATAATTTTTTTCATAATTAACTTTAACCATAATCACTTTTAAAAGAATTTATCAAACACTCTTTTGATAAGAGAATACAAGACTGAAACAAAAAATAACATTATTAGTAAAAAACTTTAAAGTTTAAATCATTAACACCACAATTTTTATTTTCTTATCTGATTAACTATTAATTAATTATTTATTTTTAATCTTGCTTGTCCATTAACATGGTAATTAAAGGTGGTTAATACATACTTTAATGATATAAATTACAATAATACTAACCAGTAAATTTTATGTATATTAATATTTTTGTTTGACATAATTATAAATAAATTAAAATAAAAATTTTCTCACCCGTGAATGTGATATAACCCAGGTCATTTCCATGGAATCAAACATCTCCTCTCCAATCTACAATTACGTAACCATGCTTCTAACTTCATCAGTCTTTCGGATTCCCTATGATTATTCAAATGTTTAAGGAGTTTTTGGTAATTATTCAAATGTTTAAGATGTTTTTGGCTACTTAAAATCTTTTTAATGAAATAAATCAACTATGTTTAAGGAGTTTTTGGTAATTATTCAAATGTTTAATGAAATAAATCAACTATTCGCTTAAAAAATTAACATTTAAGGCCTAAATCAGTCACCTACATATATATATAAAATAAGTTTATAAATATATTATTTGATCAAATTATTTTCTTATTGTTTATTTTAACATTAAAAACACTTTAAAAAATATTGTTATTTAATGAAACTTCATAAGATTTATTATTATCCTTTTTTATATTTTTAGATTTATTGTCAATATCTATCATTTATTTTCAGTAATTTTGAAACTATATCTGAAAAATATCATATTTTTAAAAATGTTTTTTGCCCTTTTGCTTGGTAAAATGTTTAATTTAAATTAATATTCATATAAATCCACAGCATCCGAAGGTTGGATAATAGTCTCAATTTTAACCGAGTGCAGCGCTGCGTTCTTCTTTTATTAAAAAAAAAAAAAAAAAGGAAAAAGAAAAGAAAAATGGTTAAATCCAATCATTCACCAATGAACGGTCGTGATCGAGTAATCACACCATCATTAGAGTAAAATCAGATCCCAAACGTAGGGCCCATCAATATTCTGCCACATGGCAGATTTTAAAAGCAGGACCACCTAATTTCCTCCTCTACCCTCAACCACTCTTACTATGCTCCTTTTCTCTAAACCCTTCAATATCGCCTCTCTTTTTCTTTCCCCAGGACCAAACTTCCCCCCAGTTAGCTTCGGATCCAAACCTCGTGCTTCGTTCCCATACCTTAGCCTCGGATCCGAACCTCAGTTTTGCTCCTCTGTTCGTTGAAAATTTCGCAGTATTTTGATCACTTTATCTCTCTCTCTCTCTGAGTTCAAAGAGAAGCTAATTTCTCTCTCTTGAATTTTGAAACCCTAAAACTTGATAGATTTACTGTATTGGAGGATCGGTTTCGAGCTTCAGCAAAGGCTTCTCATCATCACTGTGAGTGCCGCGGACTCTTATTCTCTCTGTAGAAACCCTAATTTTCTCTTTGGAGAAGCTAGTTACATTGAGAGACCAAATCTAGGCTAGGGCAGCGGTGGATTGTGTTTTGCTTTGTATTTCGTGCGATATTTAAGCGTGCTTTCTGTTTCTAACTGTGGCGTTCTTGTCGTTTTTCTTTTTCTTCGATCTTGTGAGTTTGTGTTGATTAATGTGAGATTCTGAGAGAATTTAAGACTTAGACTTTGTTTGCCTGCTGAGAAAGTTAGAGGAAAAGAAAGGAAATGAGATTTTGAGTGGTGTTTTATGCAATAGGAATAATTTTGCTTTCTAATTTTGATTTTTCCTCAATTTTTATTTTTTTTATAAATTTTTGCCTGGGTACCAAACACGAACCGCTTGTGAATGTTTTCATTTGTGTAGTTTGTAGAGTTTAATTACCTTGATTTGGCGGCATTGTTGATTTGCTCATAGGTCTTCTTCTGCAAGTAGGGGAGAGAATCTAATTTCCCTTTGTCGATGCTTCCTTAGCTTAGTGATACTAAACTTGGTGTAAATGATTTGTCGTTGTCTTCGTGATTATGTTCAAGCTGAATTTTCTTGATCAATGCTCCTTCTTAATGAATCAAATAATGAACTTAAGTTATTGCTGGGTGAGTTTATGTCTTCTTTGGCAATGGTGCCTGTGCTACTTTTAATTTTAATTTGTGAATATGAGAATCTTACATTAGCGTCACAATGGCCTGTAGAAAACGCATAACTGCAGTATTGTGGAGTAATGAAAATACCTTAAAATGTGATCAGTATCAAGCTTAGCTCTTGGATTGATGAGTGAAGTTGAAATGTGTATTGAAGCAGAAGTTGAAGCCCAAAATCCGCAAGTTTTGATTATATTTACATTCATATCTAGTGAAGCCAATGCACCTAATATAGCAGCTGATTAACTCTTTGTCTCTCTGTCTTCTTTTTTGGTTATTAAGAAACATTACCGTAATTAGAACAGATGAAGGAGATAAAAATAAGAAAAAAAACCAGATTTTGACACCTAAAGTAACTGTTAGTGACAACTTTATAATTAAACTTAGTCATTAGATTCTAGTCATTTATTTTAGGGAGACCCAACACATGATATGTTATTAGACAAAGGCTACTGGAAATTATATAGCAATTAATGTAATTTGTTTTGTTGTTTTGCATCCTTTATTGTGTTAAAGACCGTTAATGGCATTAAGATGGTAAAATATCATTACTCATGACGATATGCTGATCCACTATAGCATGTTGTATGCTGAAATTTGGATGCATTATAAAAGTTTTTGTATATTATTCAGATTAAGGTTTGGGAGTTTATTTGTGATAACCTAAGGGACCTTAATTTCATTTGAGGTTACTGCTGCCTTTTCTGGCTTCCTAGATTTCTTGAGCAACTATTGCTATTTTGTGAAGAGACACATTTTGGATAATTTAATTCTATGAATAGGATGCTGTGCAGGTTTTTATTGATATGTACAAGCATGTGAAGCATTCTTTCTTCCATTGTTTCTGTGTTTTAAGTTCACATTGATCTCTTTACTGGATCGGACTGCACTGTTGGAGGTATTCTCTTTAAGTTTTTTTATATAGGAAGGTATGAATTATAGAGTCAAGCCAGAGAAGAGAATAGAAGAGTATTGTTGGTCTTGAGGTTAAGTTTGTGGAAGGTGCCCCCTCTACTGTAATCCCAACCAACCAGAGATATTCAGAATCAAATCAAAACAACCCAAGGCAAGCCATGTTGCATAATAGAGGCCACAAAGTGGGTAAATAGTGTGTATGGAGTAGAGTGACCTGCAAACTGTACTTTTACAGTATATTTTGGAAATTGAGACTCATTGTCCGTTTCACTTTCCTTATAAGGTCTCTTTGATAAATGATAGTGGAAAAGGTCATTGTAATATGTAGCTCTCATTGCTTGCCTCTCTAATAAGGCATTCCTTGTGTGGTGATGTGAAGATGAGTGAAGTCTTTTGATTGCATATTTTCTATATGGTAAGTATAAGTATGGACCAGGAAGAGTACATCCAAGATGGTTTTTCTGTGTGACATAAATATGATTTGTTGTTGGTTTTGAAAATTGTGTGAGATTTTCCTAATGTGCATTTTGTTGGGGCTACTTCTGCCTAGAATGGGTTTTCTATTTTTTATTTTATGTTGTTTCAACAAAGATTTATGATGGGATCTTGTAGTAGGTTCAGAATTTGTTGTGCAACGGTCTATTCTCATACTGGTTGCAAAACCAGGAATGAAGTATTTTAGATAAATCTTGCCTATGTTTCTTGAAATGAGAATATTTTTCCTTCATGGGTTAAGAGAAAAAATGGGATTTCTCGTTTTGTACCATGATAGTGATAAAATTGATGTAATTTGTTCCAGGGTTATCCAGAATCAGAGAGAAGATGAAAATTTTATGATGAAAACTCTTCAGTTTATCTCAAGCTTGTCAAAGTGGATAAGGAAGAAATAAACTTTAAAATATTGCTATGTGATGAAGCCCTTTCCTTAAACAACCAATGCTGCAATGCTGTAGCTGTGACTTGATGTAACTAATTACACAAGAGTACAACATTTGTCATTCGTACTAAAATGGTCAAAATGTATTTCACAAACCTTTTTCTGTTCTCCTGTACACCTGTTCCTCTACACTCAATCTGGTTTTATTCAATGTTGAAGGTTTGCCCTATATGTGTATGAGAGTATCTTATTCTAATTCTATTAATTTTCATATTTTAAAAAGGTTGAAGTCATTTAAGTGGATTGTATCTGAGAAGTTTCAGTACTTCGTACGTATTCTGATGCTGGATAAGTCATTTCTTTAATTGTGAATGCTACTTAGGATATAACTTTTTGTGCTCAGCTGCATTAGTTTTTCGTGAGTTCACATTTCTTAATGTCTAACAGATATTGAACATTGGGCTAGTTTTGCACAGGATAACTTTTTGAGTGCTAGGAGCTTGGCAGTTAGAGAGAAGATTAAATGTATAAAAAGGGGGTGTGTTTCTGTGCATACTTGGATCTGACTTTCTATGCTGTTTAATGGAATCATGGCATTGTGGAAATTTGATCTTTTCTGAAATCTTTAGGTAGTGTCTTTCTGTCCACACCATTTTTGCTGCTGAATATTTGTGGGGTGGATTATCTATGCCTGGCAACGAAGTAGGAGACAGAATCCACAATTTCTTTGGCCAAGAGAATTTGTCCCAGGGCCAACATCACTCACAGGTCGTTGACGGGACCTGGCCTGGGTTAAATAACAATCTTTGGGTTGGAGGCCAGAGACAAATTGGTGCACCACTTATTTCCAATTTGAAGAATTACAGTGTACAGCAATCAGGTATCAATCATGCCCATCTTTTGGTTTCAAGTAGTTTATGTCATTTCCCAATGGATAGCTTGTTATGGATGGATATTCTTGTACCCTCCCCTCCACCACTTATACTGATCAAATTGATTTGAAAATATATATCTTTACATTATGGTACCAAGTCAGTCTCATTGATATAGTTTATTTTTCCTTCGGCACCAGCTGATTCTGAGAGAGGACATGGTGGTCCGTCTTCAACCCTGCAGCATGGCTTGAACTTTACACAATCACCTTTGAAGCCTGAAGTTGCTAGAAGTCACTCTCAAAACCAACAACCAACTTTGAATGGCTATATGCATGGGCATCAGACATTACAGACGAGGCAGAGTGAATCAAACTTTCTGGGAGTGGATGCAGAATATAATCGGCATAATTTGACATCAAGAGGTTTACCAGTTCTTGATTCACATTTAGGAAATGGTCCTGAACTTAACAAGAAAAATTCAGTAAGGATGGAATCTACAGAATCTCCGGTCAATTATGATTTTTTTGGATCTCAACAGCAAATGAGTAGCCAAAATCCAGGCATGCTGCAATCGTTACCAAGGCAGCAGCCGGGAATCAGTGAAATGCAGCTATTACATCAACAAGCTGTTTTCAAGAAAATGCAAGAATTTCAGAGGCAGCAACAATTGCACAATCCCCAATTTCAGCAACAAGAAGCAAGGCAACCGAGTTCCATAGATCAGATTTCTTCTGTTGTAAAACAGGGAGCTGCTAGTCACACATCAGCTCTTATCAATGGCATTCCCATTCAGGATGCATCTAATTATTCATGGCAGCCTGAACATGTGGCAGCCAATACAAACTGGTTGCAGCGCAGTGCCTCTCCAGTGATGCAAGGATCCTCTAGTGGACTTATGTTTTCGCCTGATCAAGGCCAGGCCCGTGTTATGGGTTTGGTTCCTCAACAAACTGACCAATCTTTGTATGGTGTCCCTATCACTAGCTCGAGATCTAATCCAAATCATTATATCCAAATGGAGAAGCCCACAGCACAGCATACTTCTGCTAACAGTAATTCCTTTCCAGGTAATCAATATGCAACTTTTCTGGATCAGGGTAGCATTCAAGATGGAACTATGGTTTCTAGGCAGGGCTATCAAGGAAAAAACACATATGGGCCTGAAGCTGGACAGGGTTTTCACGGTGGACTTAATCTTGAGAGCATGCAGCAATTGAATACCCCGCAAAGAAGTGCACCCATGCAGGAATTTCATGGGAGGCAAGAGTTTGTTGGTCCGTCAGAAACATCACAGGAGAAAACTGTGATGGAATCTGCTGCTTCACAGAGTGCAGCTACCCTAGATCCAGAGGAAGAGAAGATTTTGTTTGGCTCGGATGAAAATTTGTGGGATGCCTTCGGCAGGGGCACCAACTTGGGTTCAGGATGCTCTAATATGTTGGATAGTACTGATTTCCATGGTGCATTTCCTTCTTTGCAAAGTGGGAGTTGGAGTGCTCTAATGCAGTCTGCTGTTGCAGAAACTTCTACTGATGATGTAGGGCTGCAGGAAGGATGGAGTGGTTTGGGTGTCCGCAATAGCGAGCCTGCGGCTCATCAAGCCTCATTTGTTAATGATGGCAGCAAACAGCCATCAGCTTGGGCTGATAACAACTCACACACTGTCTCTACACCAAACCCTAGACCTTTTCCCATGTCTGTTGATGCTAATACGAGTGCTAATTATTCTAGTCATTCCGGTGTTCAGCAATCCGGATTGAAGACTTCACACGAACGACGTGAGAAGTTGCCTAATGATTCTTCTCAGAGATTCATTCAGCAGTTTTCAGGGGAAGGAAACAAATGGTTGGATCGCGGCCCTCTACCAAAACCAGTTGCTGAAGGTGGTCAATTTTTTGGAAGTGCTGCTCATTCTTCAGATGCAGAATTAAATGTGAAGGGCATTTCACCTTCTTGGACTCATCAAGAGAGCATGTCCTCATATAGTACCAGTGGCCAAGTGTGCAATAGACCTAATGGTTGGAACTTCATTGAGTCTGTTTCTCCTGGTGGGGGCGCCACTTCAAAAACTCAGGGTAATGAAAGCTCATTGCAGCTTAGTCAGAGTAGTGATCATACAAGTACCATGCATGAGAAAATGGGCCATGGTTCTGGTCTAAGGAAGACTAATTCTGGTTCCAATGTAACAGAGAATGCTATATTTGCCTCAGGACGTCCACAGGTCAACAGGGAAGATTCTAATATGAATAATGCTGCTACAATATCAGATTCAAATACTGTAAGGGCCAATCAGAAAAGCGGCCAACAGATTTCAAATTCCCATAATATAAATTTCTGGAAAAATGTTGGTTCTTCTGTGAATATTAGAGGAAGTGAGGTTCCTGGAAAAAGTCAGCATCATGATAAGAGCCCACAAAATATTGAATCATCAGGAAATAAGGGCTCAGATAATGGGGGAATGGAACACGAGGAGGAGAATCCTACTGTAAAAGAAAAGTCAAGTGACAGTTTTCGTTCTAACATGTCCCAACATACATCCACTGCTGGTTTGAGAGAAAATGTTTGGTTGGATGCAAGTGATACACGTAATTTGCCAGGAGGAAACCAAAAGTCATCTGGTCATGTCAGTCGAAAACCTTCTGCAACTCGCAAATTTCAGTATCATCCTATGGGGGATGTGGATATAGATTCAGAATCTTCTTATGGAATAAAAAATGTTGCACATTTACATTCCACGCCCCAGCAGGTTTCTCGAGGATTAATAGAGCAACCGCATTTCGGGCAGTCAAAATATATTAATCAAATTGCCAAAAATTCTATGGAAAGTGAGAAGGTGATTTAGTAGCATTATCACATAATAACTGAGAATGATAGTAATACTTTACGTTCCCTTTTTCTGAAGTTCAACTATAAAACATTTCCTTTTCTTTTAAATTCTTATGAAACCCAGAAGATACTATTTGACTTTAATGTTTATTTGTAGGGTCACCTGCCTGGTTTTCAAGGCGATGCAAAATACTTAGATGAGGTGCCTTCAAAAAGCATGCATCCAGGTTATGTACCTGTTACATCTTCTCCGTTTGACAAATCCGTTGGTAATTATGCCCCAAACAAGAATGCTTCGTCGAGGTAATTGAATATTAAAGTTTCTCTGTATATTCAGTTTTAGCTTGATGTCATGCAAATTTATTGCTTTAATTGCTGTTTTAATTTTGTTCATGGAAACATTGCTTACTACTAAAAATTAGTATCCATGATTATAATAAATTCATCCCACATTGTTTTAGTTTCCAGTAACTGACAGTTAACTTGTGTAGTGCCTTCACATGGCTCTTTAGATTTTCCATTCAGTATTTATTTAACTTTCATCCTTTGTGGTGGTATAAATTTTATGATTTATTGCAGTCAAAATATGCTTGAGCTTCTTCATAAGGTGGATCAACCAAAGGAACACTGCCCTGCAATGCATTTCAGCTCTTCTGATCGCAATCAATCTGAGATGCCTGAAGCAGAAACCTCTGATGGTTCTGTTGGTCATCTTCAGCAAAATCAGACTTCCTCTTCGCAGGGCTTTGGTTTACAGCTGGCCCCACCATCTCAACCGTTGTCCATTCCAGACCATGCCTTATCTTCTCAGATCTCTGCTCATGCAGTTAGTTCTGGTAGTACAACTTGTGTTGCTTCTGAGATGGGAAGAAAAGGTCATACATGGTTGTCTTCCTCTACCTCCGTCGAATCGCGACATCCTTCCTATTCAACATCTCAAGGTGATACTAGGAGTAATATTTCTAGTGGATCAGGACAAATTGGCAATAAAGCCTCACAGTATAATATCCAGGGGAATTATTCTGCTGGTTTTCCTCATGTCAGAAGTCATCTTCAGAACCAGCAAATGAGTGGTGTTGGTGGACAAGCAACACCAACCCAATCTGTCAAACTATCTTTTGATAGGTTTGTTTCCCAATCAAAACAGATAGATGATTCGTGTGACAGAACTCAAACTAGTCAATTGGCGATGGCATCAGTGCCGGACATGTCTAAAGGTGCTGCACACAATGAACTTACTTCCTCTGCAGAAACATCTCAGTTGAGTAGTAACAACCAAAACAGTGCAAGAGGTTCAGCCCAACAGTTCCCTGTTCTGGAGGCTATGCCAGTTTCACAACCTTCTGTTACACCTGGCATGTCGCAGCATGGTGCTTTCTCAAAAATGTTACCAAATATGTGGCCCAATTTTCCAAACCAACAACATTCATCAGTTGCCCAGACTCCTCCCAATTTGTTTAAGCCCCAGCCTCAATCTACTAATAATGTAGAAAAATCTTCCTCCGGAAAGCTGAAGCGAGATGATCAAGTTGCCCAGAGAGTGGATAGTGGTTCGCCTGGGTTTGCAGGATATTCTGTGCAGCCACAAGGTTTTTCTGGGGATGAGCAGTCAGCCAAAGAGCAGCACATATCACCTGAGAACGATGCAGGCCTAAAGACAGTTGGTGCTTCACATTTGCAAGGGAAAGAATCTGTTGTAGACCATCTTTCTGACACATCTATTTCAAATTCTACAACTAAACAGAGAGATATTGAAGCTTTTGGTCGTTCTTTGAAACCAAATAACCTGTTGCACCAAAAATACTCATTGCTGCATCAAATGCAGGCCATGAAAGGTACAGATGTTGATCCAGAGAATAGAAGTGTGAAGAGATTTAAGGGTTCAGACTGTTCTATGGATGCTCAGCAGGAAGCTCATGTGGGAGGACAGCAGTTACCATATGGATCTAATAACATGATTAGAGATGCATCAATAAATCATGGCTCACTTCCACCTGGAGATTCTAAGGTTCTAAACTTTTCACCACAGATGGGCAATAGTCATCATGGAGCACACACACCTCCTAATGATATGGTTGCAATTGATCGTAATGATTCCCAAAGAGTTGCAAACATTAATAATGCTGTTACTGTTAGGGGTGAGCAATCTCAGATCAGTCTGCAGATGGCTCCATCCTGGTTTGATCAGTATGGGGCCTTTAAAAATGGGCAGATGTTACAAATGTATGATGCACGGAAAAACGCTACTTTGAAGACTATGGAACAATCTATCATTGTTGGAAAGCCTTCTGATAGTTTTCATGTTGGCCATTCAATGCCAGTAAATACTGTTGCTGATGCTAGTCACCTTAGTAAAGTCCAGCAAAGTTCTAGCCTCATGTCACAACCAAGTGACCATCTTTCTTCCCCTCAGTCATTACCTCCTGTTATCGCTGATCAAAGTTTGGTGCTTGTGAGACCTCAGAAGCGTAAAACTGCCACATTTGAACTTCTACCTTGGCATAGAGAAGTGTTGCTGGGTTCTCAAAGGCTTCGAAATATCAGGTGATTAGAATAAATAGCACATATATTAAGTGCATTCAATATTTTTTGCCATTTCTTTTGACAATGCATCATTTTGTGTAAGTTTTTTTCTTTCGTGGTGAATAAAAATAATATTATGCAATGTGATTAAATGGGACAACTATTTATCATCTCTTTATAATCTTTCTTCTGTGAAGCTCTTTGCTTGATCAGTGTTATGCCTTTTTCTATATACAAACAAAAGGTTAAAGGTTTGAAATAATGTTATTTGCAGCATGGCAGAAATGGAATGGGCCCAAGCAGCAAATCGGTTGATGGAGAAGGTCTGCTCATAGCTTTCCTGTGAATCTATAGACAAACAATTATTTTCCTGTAGAATCTATAGTAGTTCTTGAAGTGTTCTAATGGTTTCATTGTTGATGATAGGTTGAAGATGAAACTGAATTGACTGAAGATGGGCCGCCTAGATCAAAAAGAAGGCTTATTTTAACCACGCAGCTTATGCAGCAAGTTTTTCACCCTCCTCCTGGAAAGCTTCTCTCTTCAGATGCTAGTTCACACTATGAGAGTGTGACCTACTTTGTTGCCAGATCAGCATTGGGAGATGCATGCAGTACAATATCTTCATCCAGAACTGATACTTCTGCGCATCCTGATAGTGGGAACCTGTAAGGATTCCAGTCTGAAATTGTTCAAGAATGCTTTTGCTATATCTCTCAACAGTTTGTAGTTAGTAGGGGATGCTATTCTTTTACATATAAATAACATCATTTTCAAACTATACTTTTAGCCTTTCTGAGAAGCCCAAAACATCTGAGAGAATTGGTGATCAGTACATCACAAAGGCGATGGAAGACTTCATTGATAGAGCAAAGAAGCTGGAAGAAGATTTGTCAAGGTAATCCTTTTTCTTTTTCCTTTTAATAATATATATGTTTCTTTCTTACTTGATGCCTCCTTTTCAATTTTTGCCTGTATTTTCTGAGTCTCTTGACCATATTTCAAGTTCTCAGTGTCGCATTTCTGACCTCCTTTGACTTGTCTGTCAGTCTTAAAGAGTCTTTCCTTCCACTCACTAACACACGTTGAATCTAGAAACACTGTGTTGCTGGGGATGTCTCTGTTAAAAATTGTCTTTTTTCTTTTAGGAGGGATACTATAGTTCTTAACTTAGCCAAAAACCGTAAAAGGTTTGACTTGGCAGATCCTGGTTATTTGGACAACCTTTGGTTGGATTTTTCTGTATTAAATTTCTTCTGTCTGTATTATGTATTGGCTCAATCCATTGTGTGGAATGAGACTGGAGCAATTTGCCTGCTACAGTAATGTCTTGGCTGATTAGGTCCAACATGTGCTCTTGTTGTGGTATATGGATTTAAAATTGAAATCCAATTTAAGTAAATGAAAAGTGTATAGCTTTGGGATGATGCCTATTGCTTGATCTATTTATATTCTTAACTTATACAACTGCTTTTGGGATTGGTGTTACTGGGGTGATGGTGGTGAGATTGACAATTAGGAAGACTAGTAAAATTATGCAGGAACAAGAGTGCCTGTGAGTAACTTTTTTTTTTTTAAATTTTTTTATTGCTCTATTAATCTACTGTTTAGAGAATGACTGGAATTGCTTGGCAATGCTCAGAAGTTGCGTGGTTGATTTATGTCATTTAGGAGATATCGATCTACTTCCTGTTTGCAGTTTCTGGGCTAGTTTCAGAAGTTGGAAGGGGGTGATGGATGTTTGAACCAATTCGTTATTAATTATTTGGACTCATGGAGATAAACATTTTTTTCCCTTTTCTTCTCGCTTTTTTCTAGTTTTATTCTGTTGGTACTTTTATTACACAATTAGCAGTGGCTTAGCTTCATATTGTGGTATAAATTGTGTATCTTTCTCATGTTTGGTGCTGCTGATTCATACAGACTGGACAAGGGAGCCTCGATCTTAGACTTGAGAGTGGAATGCCAGGATCTAGAGAAGTTCTCTGTAATCAATCGCTTTGCAAAGTTCCATGGCCGGGGGCAAGCTGACGGGGCTGAGACCTCGTCATCCTCCGATACAAATACTCAGAAATTCTTCCCCCAGAGATATGTTACTGCACTTCCAGTGCCTAGGAATCTCCCTGACAGGGTACAATGTCTTTCACTTTGATCATTAATTAATTGATTTTTCCCTCTTTCTTGGCCAATTCTCTCCGCATCCCTCATGCTTCTTTTGTCTATCTTCTTCCAAATTATATACTTGGCACTTGCTCATAATTGAACCACACAAATGGGAATGTAGGAGAAGAAAGTCTCCTTAAATGCAGTGGAGACTGTTAGATTTTCATCTAGGCCACTGATGTCATTCTTCAGAATTATAAATTGGTCTTTGTATACTTCCTTGGAAGTCTAGAGAGAAACTAGGTGCCCCTGTGATTTTTTTTTTTTTTCAGTAAATGGGGAGAACAGGAGCTCTTTCTGTTTTTTCAAAGGTGCTCATACATAGCTAAAGTTCCAGGTAAATTATGTGTATTCTCATCATTGATGCCTTGAATCATGGGGTTCAATTTATGGATTAAGGGATTTACGTTTCTTCCTTTTCATTGATTTCTCCTTTTGGGGTGGGGGTGGAGAGGGGAGGTGAATTGATGGAACGGAATCTTGAATTGCAATTTTACCGCAAGAATTAGGCTATTCTTTTCATGTTATTATTTGGCATTGTTTGTTTGAACTCTTACAAAAGCTTGTAACCTTTTTGGTCGGAATTTTAGCCTAAATAGACAAACATCAAGTAACGAAATTCAATTAATAGTTGGCAAACTTGTTTCTAATTATGTAACTTTATCTTGACCTGCTTTGGATTTTGTTAAGAACCTGCCTGCAAAATGATTATCATTGTCTTCATAGTGTTTGTAATATGGGTGGCCTCTGGACAATGCATTGTTTGCCTTCATTTTTTATCCATCAATATTTCTTAAGGTGTAGATAAATGGTTTCTAAAACCCAATCACCTGTAGCCTTCACGAGAAATTGAGGTGTATCAAGTCAACCGTAGGCATGGACTCTTGAGGGGTTTAAGCAGGGGGGACTCTGTGGCCTAGCCATCAGAGAAAAAAAAGTGTGGGTTAGCTTAGGCTGGACTCTCTGATATCTTGAACAATTTTTTTTGGAGATACTGAAATTTGCCTAATTTTGATCACAATGCACTTGGGATATGAATTGCCTGGAAAACTTTATGTAAACCCCTAGAAAACACCTAGGGTGTTTGACAACTGTATTCTTCATGATTATTGGCTTATTTGATAATTATCTCCATTAAATGTGCAGAGTGAATCTAGCTGGGCAATTCTTTATTTTTCTCTTTTTCCTTTTAAAATCTTAAATTCAGGTTTCAGTAACCCCTGATATTTTATATTGATCCAGAATTTTGTTATTCTTTGCCTCCCCTCTTTTTAATTGAAAAACAGAATATCTTCTTCTGGGTTGGCATAAATCTTACCATGTGTAGAGCAAATTGTTATTATTTATACTAGTTCTATTTTTGGTTTTTCATTTTATGCCTGGCCCTTTGTTCCCTTTCTGGGTTTTCCTTGTGAATGAGAAATGTGAGTATGCCAAGTACCGTTGGGGATTGGCATGGTCTTGATTTCATTATATGTACTATAATATATATGGTCTCGATTTCATTATATATACTATAATATATACGTACTATTATAGCTTCTGTTGCCAGTTTCATTCCATTTTCATCCATTCATTCATCTTAATCCAATGGTTGAAGTCAGTTGTCAAAAATTCACATTTATTGTTGACTACTGTCCCTTTGGATTAAGATAATGAATAGGTGAAATTATAACCTATGGATTAAAGTAAAAAATTAAAGTTAAAAGGTCCCAATACATTTATATTTGCTATAATTATGACATGCAAAATTTGAACTTATAAATTGGATAGCTTTCTGATGATAAATTCTGCATGTGTATGCTTGAGTCTTATGGCAACCCTTCTTATAATAGACTGGAATTAAGCTGGAACTGGTACGGCCCTTATAATACAGCTTTTCATAGTATTACAGGAGTTCATATGAGCCAAGTTGTTTTTAGTGCTCTTATTTCCCTGCACCATTCATTTTTGTTACCCCTATGTTGGACGCTTAACGAGTTTTATTTTTCTTAGTAATGTTGGCCTAGTATACTTTGTTCTTCGCTTTCCCAAATCTCTATTAATTAGAAGTTGAATTAGACTTAACTGTGAGCTGAATTTTAAAACAGCCATTTATACAAATTGCATGGGTGGTGCAGCTTTTCTGATTGTGTATTAAATTTGCATGCTACCAGCCTTTGATCTCAAATTTAATAAGGTGGCGGTTTAACTTCATCCATTATAAACATTCTTGCATGAAATTGAACTCAGCAAATTGTAAGGCAAGGCTTTACCAACTCTTATCGGTTTCCTGCTTTTTATATAAGGCAGCCAGCATTTAGTATTTGTGTAAATGAAAAATCTTTATGAAGTTATGTGGCATGAAATGTGTTGATGAGATTTTGTCTGGTTTAGTTGTTTGTTACACTCACAAAGTTGCGGTGACTTTGTGCCTGATTCACCCTTTTTCGGGTATACTTTATGAAGACGTACATTATTGTTGTACTTACAGATTTTTGTTTTAGTTGTTGATGTTCAGTTTTCTTTCGCTTAAGTATTGGGTCAGTGACACAACTGATGATGTTGAATTGAATCTGTGCTATTTATTTTTAGAGTAAATTCAATGGTTTTTGATTCAGAGCCAATAAATATCAGTGGTGTAATGTTCAGTTATGCCGTGTCATTTACTTTGCCTTTTTTTATATTTTGGTTGCCCCACTTTGTCGATTTGAGTAATCTTGCAAAACTCTCTTTTTCCAAGTAGGCGATTGGAATTTTGTGGACATTTAAAAGGAGATAAAGTCTGCATATCCACTTAACGTTTAAATTTTACTTTATTAATTACTTTTGAGTGAATATGAAATCTAACAGGATGGCTGCCTGTACAATTTAATTTTTCTATCTGTAATTCTGCTTATGTATGTCCATTCGGTTTTCCTGTTATATTTGAGACCATTATTAACAACTAAAAGTGGGAAAATGAGTTGAACGGGAAAGGAGGTATCAAATCAGAAAGCAACTACATGATTAATATATGTTTGTTTTCTACTTGGTAATCTGCGATCACGCCTATGTAAAATGGAAGTTTTATCATTTATGTTCCACGAATCAAATTTCATATGCTTAAAAAGGCTGGGTTAACGAGATATATATTGCCTTGTGACACGATTGTGATAATCATTCCCATTTCTACTAGAACAAATCGATGTTGTATTAATTTCGATTTACTATATGAATGAATCAATAACATGGGCTGTCTTATATTAAATAAATGCCACATAAAAGAATACAAAACTTGAAATTTAAAATTTATAAATAATTATAGCCCTCAATATTATGCACTGCCAAACTCCAAAAGTTATGATTAGCCGCATGTAATTCTTGAGAAGAGCCTACAAATTCAAACAGAAGTAAGAATTATAAAGCTGCCCCTTCATCATTAGATATACATAAAGGTGATTTAGCTGGGTTTGTCTAAATTTATAAGCCGCTAAATCTAATTTATAAACTTTAAAATAAAACTAAGTTGTTTGTTTATATTTTTTTTTTGTAAACTATTTGGACTTAATATATTATTATGAGGGTGTTTATCCGAGCTTATAAAAATTAGCTTATAAGCATTTGAAATTTTAAGCTCAAACGTGTTTGGTTAAAGTATTTATAAGTGACTGATAAGTAATTGACGTGTTTGGTAAAATATAGCTTATAAGTACATTTTATTATAAAATGACTAAAAAAGGTACTACATTAAATAAGGGTATACTATAGAATTTTAAAATTAAACAAGAATAATGTGATAATATACTTGATCAAACTAGCTTACAAGCAGAGTGCTTATAAGCCAAAAAAAAAAAAAGTACATAAAAAAGTACCTCCCCCCAACTTATTTTTTTTAGCTTATAAGCTCAACTTATAAGCTCAAAAAAATTATAAACAAACAGGTCAGCTTAATTTTAAAGCTTATAAGCTAATTTGACCAGTTTATAAGCTTAGACAAACACCCTTTATATTATCCATTTTTAATTTTAAAATTCTATCCTATACCCTTATTTTTAATAATGTAGTATATTTTTTACTCATTTTAATCATAAAATATATTTATAAACCACATTTTACTGAACGCGTTAACTATTTATCAGTAATTTATAAGCATTGTTTTAAAACCCAGACCAAAGGGCAACCCGTTTCGCTGCACAGCGACAATTTTATTTTTAAAAAATTACATATTAATCCCTTAAATTTTAATATATTACAAAAATTTCCCTAAAAAGTTCAAATTAGTCCCTAAAATTTTTATTTATTTCAAAAATGCCCCAAAATAAGTACTAATTAATCCATAAACTTTTAACATCTCTCCAAAACACCCTTATAAAATTACAAATTAACCTTTATAATTTTAAAATATTACAAAAGCCCCCTAAAACCTGAACCAGACTAGATAAGCTGCCGAGTCCCAATTCGACTAGTCCGATCCGATTTTTAAAACAGAACTTATAAGTACTTTAACCAAACACGCAACTACTTAAATTTTAAATGTTTATGAGTTCAAATTAGCTTAAGCTAATTTTCATACACTTATATTTTTTTTTACTTAAATTTCTATATCATATATTAAATATAACAATTTTAATGCATGCCTATTACAAGAATGAAAAGGAAACGGAACATTTACTGGTACTGTCACGGGTTCAACTTAAGCAAATTATACACGAGCTCTAAAATTTTACATTATGCCACTAAATAAACAAAGGCTGTAAACGGAACTTGCTCGCAGACATTCCCCAATCGATGCAATTACCACCATGTTTGAATATCCAAATACTTACCTGTTACAGCTTACACTGATCGCCTGGTGACATCGCAAGCGAATGTTGAATAGTCCTTGTTGGGATGGAGTAGCTTCTGTAAAAAATAGAGATTCATTTACTCAGCTGGATGATTGGTGTAAACATACCCTTCCCAATGGAAATCACAGGTCTTTGATTTGATGGTCTCCGGATATCTCTCTCTCTCAAGGATTTGATGCATCATTAATTGGAAAGAGGCTCATGAAATGTTTAGAAGGATTTGATGATTCATTGAAATGGAAAGATGCTCAAAGAAAGTTCACATGCATTTCCTCTCCAACTGCTGTGAATATTTCATTTACCCTGTAAACAAAGCAAGTAGCCATCAGAATCTCTATAAAAATTAACCTCAATATGGGTTGCATTCCAATGATTTGACTCAATTCTGAAACTGGCTATCCATTATATAGTAGGGTCAATCTAAAACTGAAATATAAATAATTGTGTTTTTCGTAGTTCTGTAATTACCTCTGAGTATCTATGTTCACCTCAGCAAGCCAAGTTGTTAAAGCGACCTGCAATGTATGAGCATAAACCAATTCAGATGACTATCATACTAGAATAAAGTAAGAATATATTTTACACACACAAAAAAAAAAAAAAAAAAGTTTGAAACCTAAGCACTAAAATCTACTAATTTAGCATTGCAACATCAAACTATATGCAAAGATTCATTTCTTCAATCTCTGGTGTCTGGTTGGATATGGGGATTTGGGGAAAACCGATTTTAGTGAGCAATGAAGAGTAGAGAGATTGAGACCAAGATAGAAGCTCCTCCGAGATGAGGAGCAGATTTGATCTAACACTCCATTATCTTCAAGGTCAAGTATGAACAACTTTCCAATCCAATTAGAAAATGATGTAGTAAAATTCCATCATTTCTTAAGAATAAAAAAGGTGGGACATTCAATTAGTCAGGGCCTATGCATACAGAGTGCTCCAAATGTTTCATGTAGTAAGTCTAAATGGGACATGATGCTACTGTCAAAGTGCTTTAGCTCACAAACTGTATTACTGTGCTTTAGTTCACAAACTGAATTACTGACAGTAATAGTGGGAATAGGATCTACATCTTTGATACATACTGATATTGATGGGGCAGATCATGTCCTATCCTAATTATGTCATAAAAGGAAATCCACTGTGTGACAGATGGTTGGGAACAATAAAGTAGTTCATTTTAATTGCACGAGGAATCAGACTTCATTTATATAATTAAACCTATAATGCTTGACAACCTATAATGCTTGACAGAATGAACCCAGCACCTGCAATATCTCCTGGCTTGGCTGACGGTTACATTGTACAGCAGTCTTGTCAGAGTTCCAGTCCTTCAATCTTGGGCTAACTGGCTCACAAGTTTCCCTTGAATACAAATCGCACAAGCTCAAATCGTCAAATTCCCCTGGATAAACCTCATCTGACCAGCAAAGTTCATTGACTTGGGTAGTTTCAAAACCAATAGAGAGTAACTCTACCACAAGCAAACGCTGCACAAATCAAGCATGACAAAGAACAATGAAGAGTGGAGTCACAAGAAAACAAAAATATCTAAAACTAGAATGAATTTGTTTAAAACTTCCATCATGTGTGTAAAAAAAAAAAAAGGAAGGCTTTTTACCTTCAAATTCAGTTCTAATCTGAACATCTGTACAAGTTCCTCAGCTAATTTCTCTGAGATCATTCAACAGTAAGAATCATCATCAAAATTATATAAAGCTTAAAGACTAAAAGATGTTGCATAAAGGTTCAAACTTACTTTTATTTCTGTTAATATAGCTGTTTTATCTATAAAAAAAAATTAATTACATATAAATTATTAATAAACAATTGAACACAAGCCTCAATCAAAGCTTGAAAGATAGGAATATTGGGTTACGGAAGAACATCTAAACCCCTTTTTCACCTATGAAAAATTTAAAATCAAAGCCCTCTTTTCAAACATTACAAATTGATGCCTTAGAAACTCAAACAATAGATTAAGTATAGAAGAAGCCAGATATGGAAATACCATAAACAGCAATCGAAGAAAATGCAAAGACTGGTATTCCACCACCATCACCAGTGTCATTTGTATCCTCAGAATAACTACAAAATTGCACAAGCGGACTACTACTAGGACCTTTGAGAAAACTTCTCATGGATCTGCTAGAGCTGACCATGTAATTTACAACTGTCACCTGATAAAAACATTATTAACAAACAAAAATATAAAAAGTCTACCAACATTAATTATATAAATTCTCCAGCCATCATATGACAGCAAAATTAATATGGGCTGTCAAGTTTCTAGTTTCAAATGTAAGTTTTGATTCTGGATTTAATTGTCAACAACCGCAGAATCTAAATTACTCTGGATAATCTACTTAAATGTGGAATCCATAACGAGAATCCTTCCCTTTGCTAAATGGAAGATTCTACCAAAAGTGCATCAGATAGTCATAGGAAAAGAGGTATCATGTGCTTTGTACCTAATTTTGACAACCTTATGCTATGCCTAAAAAATTGGGAGTACATGAACAAGGTCACAATGTTATCCCTCAATTGTGACACCTAATCAGTTTATTATAGTGATCAGAATTAGCAGGTGTAATACTGTAATCTTTATTTTCTTTTCAAGTAACCATCTAATATATGGGGAAATACAGAGAGGAGTCAGCCACTATCAGTGGTTATCTCTCTAATTTTCTCTATAGATTCTCTTAGCTCGTAACGTATTTGGTGAAGATATTTTCAACCATAACTAAATTTGAATACTGTATCAGCCATACCTTTAGCTTGTACTAACTACAGTTTTATGTCACTGACAAAACCAAAGATCATCTATGTCACTGACAAAACCAAAGATCATCCTTGAGATCTCAACATCATTTAATCCATATGTCATCACCAGCTGATCCAACTCCCAAGACATTATACAAAAAACCACTTTTAAATTTACATCTCATACCACATTTTCATAAGGTAAATATGACATAATACGGATATATGAAATCAAGAAGGATATGTATTTCTTGGTCAGCAGCTTGATACACAGTGCAAGAAAGTTTCATAAAAGTGAGATTGGTAGTACAAGATGTATTTGGAATTATAATTGATTAAAAAACACATGCTAAGATACGTACCATGTCCTTGTAAGATGATAAAAGTTTCCTCCGATAGTGCTCCTGGAACAATATTTTGTAAGTAGTATTATATATAGAGAAGTGGATTATAAGTGCAACAGATACTTTAGTCTACTGAAATATACATAAGGCTTAAACAATCTAGAAAAAGACATTTCATGCCTATGTGCAAACCAAGCAAGTTATGCCATACATCGGAAGCATTATAATGTAGCATATAAAATGTTTCGATACATTGAATTTATGCTACTAACTAAATGGCATGTCATTTGAAAAAAACAAATTGATTAACCCAACGGAAAATTACCTGCTGCTTAAACAATTTACAAGAAGCCTTCTTTCGAATATCTGGCATATCACTCAAAACACCTAATTCCATTGAAGCCATGTACCTAAATCAAATATCCTTAGAACCAAAGTACAAACAACAAATACCTATAAATACAAAATACAACCCTACAGGCGAACTTCTAATTTTTGTGACAAAATAATAATAATAATAATTTGCTTTTCAATCCAACAGTGGTCGAGTTTTAGTTCCACACTACCAAGTATGCAAACTGTAATTACAAAATTATTTAGGCACAACTGTGTTATCATGATATTATTTATTTCAATTTGCTCATTTTAATTTTATATTTTCATTTTATCATTCTGTAAATATAAGTATATAACATTACTCAAATACAAAATGCCTCCAAAAATCAAATTTTCTTTGTTTTCCTAAATTTTCCCGGCAACCAAACAGGAAAAAGAAAAGCTAAAAATATGATAGTGATAGTGATCGAGATAAAAACCTTTCAGATAAATAAGAGTTGACGAGAGAAGTGGCGTGCGACCTGCCATTAGAAGAAGCAGAGAGCCATTGTTGCCGATACGATGCCATTTTGGACCACTGGTTCCTCAAGTTTCGCTGAGCGGCTGGTCTCCATAGCCTCAACAACGATGAAGGCGGTGGCTGCGGCGACAAAATAGAGCTAGAGCTAAGGTTTTCTATCTTCAAGTTGGAATTTGAACTCGATTGCGATGAAGAATACGGAGACTGTGGGTCTAGGGTTTCCATTTTTGAAAATTGAAGTTGCTCCGGAGGAAAATTTAAAAGAATAACCTTGAAAATCGGAGACTTTTTTTTTTTTTTTTTAAATTAAAAAATCTGACGTCACACACTTAATTGTAACTAAACACGGAAAAAAAAGGGCTAGAGTTAAAAGATTGAAACGTATATAGGTAATAGTACAATTAATGAAATTTTGTTTAAATTTTGAAAATTAAAAAACAACCCCGTCTCTTTAAAATCGCTCAATCGAGCAGTATACCCAAAAAACGACTGACGAAACACCTTCCATTTCTCTGTGATTTTTGGCGATAAAAGTTCCTTATTTCTGACCAATATTCGATTCTAAAGCTTCATTACACAGAATCATGACTAATATTCACAAAGAGGAGGAAAACCTAACCCCACTCCAAATCCTAGTCTCTGGTGACGGCGGCGGCTATTCAAAGGTTGGCGAAGAAAACGCTCCGGTGGATCATCCGATGAGTGAAGGTGGTCCAGCGGCAGAGGGGACAATGGCAGCACAAGAGTAGAAAAGAGAATCAAAAAATGGTTCTAAAGAGGAGGATGACGGTGAGAATTCAAGCAAGGAGGAGGAGGCTGGTGAAGAAAAGGTACGTTTATTACTAGTGGTTTAGAATTTGATGAAAAAATTGATTGGTTTGTGCGAATTTGGGGGATATGTAGTTGGTTTTGATTATTACGGTGGTTGTGGCGTTTTGTCAAGTAATTAGCGAGCATCGGGGGAGTGGCTTTGTTTGGGTGCCAGAGGATAGGGGAAGGTAAGGAACGTCGTAGGGAGGTTGTCTGTGGGAGGTTGGAGGGCTGGGGATGGCAGCAGGTGGCAAAATATGGGGGCTAGAGGGCTACCCTGCATATTGCAGGGCTGGCCGTGCCCCCAACCCCAATATTCCACCCCTTCTTGCTATCCTCAGCCATCTCTAGTCATGGAACCTGCCACAACAGCCTGTATAGGGCCTATATTGGCTTTCCCGGTTCTCTCGAAGCCCATATCCCCCAAATTGGCAGCCTATTGGTTGTTTTAGTTTCTTTTTTTTTGCTGATATTTAGTTTATATCGATTGTGCAAATTTTCCAAAGCGTAAATTATAAAGACTATAGGTTGGAGGTTGTAAGCGATAAGATACCGTACTTCCCTATAAAGGTGACAGTTAGGTCGAGTTGGAAAGTTTTTATGAGAAAAAAAGGAGATTTTAGAGTAACAAAAGAAGGGTATGGACCGATTCAAAGATTGTTGTTTCGGTCATTTTGCGGACATAGGAGAAAATTGGAAGAAGGCGTTTCTAGGGGTAGGGAGTGCATGATATGTTGCTACACTCAATTAAAAGCCAAAAAAAAAAAAAAAAAAAAATTGAAATGTGGTTTTTGGTGGATGGGAAGCCACTACGTTTTGGAATGATGAAATTTTCCCTGATGACAGGCTTAAGATATGGGGCATTTCTAGATACGGAAGAGCAAGAGAGAATAACAAAGAGTAGGGCATTTGATAACTTGGCTAAAAAGGTTTTTTTTACGGGGTGGGGGGGAGGGAGGTGTCTATTATGGGACGTGATTTAGAGGATAGGTTAGGAGAAGATGGGTATACCTCTTCGGAAAAGTTCAAGATGTGCCTGGTATGGTTCGTGCATTCGATCCTAATGGCTTCTGACTCAACAAAAGCCGTTAATATGGATTGGGTGAAGTTTGCAAGTAGCATGGACTTCTTTAATGCTTATCCGTGGGGACAATTATCATTTCAACTAACCATTGAGTCCTTGCGTGGAAAAGACATGGCGATAACGCATCACCAAGCTATCGAGAAGGATAGACCAAGCACATACAATTAGTTTGGCTTCCCATGGGTAATGTAGGCAAATATTAATAGTTTTTTGTTATATTTTTTGTATTATATGTGTTTTAATTATGATATGGACTGTTTTTTTTACAATGTAGGCTCGAATATATGAGGTCGTCTCTATCCTGGCTAAGGCAGGGGGGGCGAAAGAAGACTTCGGATGAGCGACTACAATTTCCTAGGATGTTGCGGTGGCACACTGAGAAGTGTGCCCATTAGGATTACTACAAAATAGAAATGAAAATTCAAGCGGCTCGAGTAAGATTAAAGGATTAATATTTTGAATATGCACTTGCTTTTAAATGTGGCTTAAATTTGATTGATTTTTTTTCTTATTGTAGGGAGTTGTCCGTCCTTTCCTCACCTTTACTAAAGGTGAAGCGGGAGAGGAGTATGTTACATCGTTCAGAGCATTGGACGATGTAGTAGATGAGAGGATAGACCACCTAATGCGGGGCTAGAAAGGGGTCATGCATGTGAGTGCAGCTGCAGGGCCACTGCTTAAGAATGTGTTTGAGGCCGAGGAGGATGAAGCTTCAGTCGACGGGAGGGAGGAGGAGAAGGAGGATAAAGAGGTCCATACATCTCCACCCAATTGGCAAACCGGTACAACAAGTACCGATTTGCTGAGGTGTCGGGGTTGAGAGAATGAGGTGGTTGACCCTATAAACGGTCTGTTTGACAGTTTTACAATAACTGTTTATGAGAGGTTTAAGAAGATGGAAGAGCAGATGAAAAGGGTGGAGGAAAAAGTTGATAGGGTGGCAGAGAAAGTTGGTAGGGTGGAGGAGGAAGTTGATGGAGGTGTTGAAAATGGTTGAAGTGCAACCTGAGCATAAAAGAGAGAGCCAAAAGAGTAAGCACGTAAAATCTCCTTACACGACAGTAACATATGGAAAGAAGAGGAAAACAAAGAAAAAAAATGAGGAAGTCTGTGAAAGTGGAGAAGCAAAAATGGAGGAGGGTAAGAAGGAAGGTGGAGGAAGTGGGGAAGTGAAAATGGAGGAGGGTGAGGCAGGACGCAAAGAAAGTGGGGAAGTGAAAATGGAGGAGGGTGAGCAGGAAGGTAGAGGAGGTGGGCAAGTGAAAACGGAGGAGTTAAAGGTTGATTTGTATAGGCTAATAGATGAGGAAAAGAAAAAACTCTTTTATGCCTATTACAATGATTCTAGAAGTGATGGGCGTGTGAAGTGCAAACCAGGGATTATCCCCAGGAGTGGTTTGAAAAGATGTTGACAATAGGCAAGTGGCTGACGACTCGGTGAGTTGTTTTCCCGTATTTTTCCTTATGTTTTCCATGAGGTACTGTATACTAAATCGCTTAGGCGAATTTATTTTTTTTTATTTTTTTTTAAGGAGGTAGCTTAAGCAATCTATTTTGTTTTAAGAGATTGCTTAAGCAACGATCTCTTAAAACAAAACAGATCACCTAAGGAAAAACCGTTGATGAGGTATTTGAATAGACACTTATCATGTTATTTTTATTTGATCCAGCACATTGATGAGGTATTAGCACTTATGAGGTTGCGACAGAGCAGTAATGGTGATATTTTGTATCTGCACTGTGTCATCATCAATTTGACCTTTGGCTAAAGCCTAGTAATTACATATGACACGTTAATGAACAAGGCCAATGGTGGAGGTGCAACAAGGGGAGGCAAGCAGAAAAGAATGGTCACAGAGGACTTTGACGGTGTCCTTGATGATTTTCGGTTTGATGAGAGGATCATGCAATATGTATGGGGGGAAAGGCCCAAATATGGCAACAGTTAGGCAAACATTAAAAGAGTATACTACATCGTGAACATCAAGGATATGTATTGGATAACCATCGTTTGGCTATTGGAGGAGGGCTTGCTGCAGATGCTTAATTGCAACCCGGGTATTTGTCAAGAGAGGCAGTTGAATATGGAGTTGCAGCTGTTGTGTACATTGTTCTCGTAGCTATTGTCCGACAGCAGGATGTTTTAGAACTTGGGTGATGAACTACTAACAGGAAAGTGGCCACTCAAGCGCCTTCCCATCCCAATAAATAACTCCAGGTAAATTTTGTATAAAACTTACATAATACAATTGTTCTATAAGCTAATTCTAATGCTAATTCTTCCTCCTATTGTAGTGTTGATTGCGAGGCATATGTACTAAAATTTATTGAGTTCGACGTGACCAACACCCCAATGGATAGGTTGAATGACGACACAATGAACAACTTTTGGGAGCACTTATTTGTTGAGTGCTTCCATGGGTATATGGATCCCTTTTGACTGACCAGAACCCAATCTAAGTCATTGTTGATGTTGTCATCAAAAGGTATGGAAGTTGGACTTAGAGTTTTATAGTTTATGAGAAATGCATTTCTTAGTAAGTTGTCTTGAATAATTGGATTGTCTTGAATTGGATCAACTGGTGTTGTTAGGAGTCAGGCTGTTGATACCTAGGTTGTGGTGTTATGTATGCTTTTTGGTCAAGGCCAAGGTTGGATAATGTTGGAAGGGGTGTTGTAGAAGAAGACGAAGAGGCTGCTGTTGATGCTGAAGGTGTGCTGGATAATTTTGGAAGATTGGGAAGTGGTTGAAGACAATGATGAAGAGGGAGGATGGAGGTTGCCAGCACTACTTTTATTTTGGGTGTATATAGGACATTTATTTGTTGTTTATAATGTTGTAATTTAATGTAGTTGACACATTTCATATTTGTACAAAAGCAATTCAGTATTTCTTTCCCTCTTTTAACTTTGAGTTTATTTAGTATTCTTGTTAAATGGAATTAATGTGTTGATGCAATTAGGTTGTCAAATCCAAGAGAAAAGATGGAATTAATATGTGTTGGTGATTTTAGTTTGTCAAAATTTAGGAGAAAAGCTGGAAATAATATGTGTTGCCCATGATCGCTTAAGCGACTACATATATCTCTTAAGCAATCAAGGGTTTCCTATACAGGGTCGTTTAAGCGAGACCTTAAATTGCTTAAGCGATCATGCACTTGGGGTGATCTTGATTCTACCTTGGACTTGATCGCTTAAGCGATCCAAGGGTAAAAGTGAAGAATCACTTAAGTGAGACCTTAAATTGCTTAAGTGATCGTGCACTTAGGGTGACTTGATTTTGCCTTGGACTTGATCGCTTAAAAGATCCTACATCGCTTAAGTGACCAAGGCTAAAAGTGAAGAATCGCTTAAGTGAGACTTCAAATCGCTTAAGCGATCGTG